TTTCTTTCTGCTAGACTCTAAGGCTACGTCTAGACTGGCAGGATTTTCCGCAAATGCTTTTAATGGAAAAGTTTTCCGTTAAAAGCATTTGCAGAAAACTGCGTCTAGATTGGCACTGATGCTTTTCCACAAAAGCACTTTTTGCAGAAAAGTGTCCGTGGCCAATCTAGACGCACTTTTCCTCAAAAAAGCCCCACAGAAGATATTATTGCATCTACACTGTCCTTTGTGTCTACATTGGCATGTCAACAAAGTGGCTTGCTTTGTCGACAGAACTGGATGTAGTCTAGACAATCTTTATTGACAGAAGCTTTGTTGACAGTATCTGTCGACAAAACTTCTGTCGACAAAAGCCTGTAGTCTAGACGTACCCTAAAGGAGCACTCAGGGTATGCCTACACTACAACATTAATTCTAAATAACAGCAGTTATTTTGAATTAACTTTAATAGCATTTACACAGGCAAACAGCTATTTCAAAATAAATTTGAAATAGTGGAGCCCTTATGTCGAATTTGGTAAACCTCATTCTACAAGGAGTAACACCCAATTTGAAATAGCTATTTCGAATGAAGTGCTGTATAGACACTTAATTTGAAATAGGGGGCCTCCAGCCCTTCCCAGGGAGCCCTGGTGGCACATCTGGGCACAACCAGGAAAACTGACTCTCCCCTCCCCGAAGCTGGGAGACAATAAAGGGGTAGACCCTGGCCACAGTGCCTGTGCCAGCTCCAAGACTACCAGCCCAGAGCCAGCAGTGGCCACCGGGACCCCTGACCCAGTGGCCCCAAAACATGAGCCAGCAAGTCACTGACGACCCTGCCAGGGGCTGGAGAAGGTGGGCGCCTTCCTGGTCCATGGACCTTATTCAGGTTTGGGGGGGATGCCCCCAACGTCCATGATCTCTGCACTAGACAGAGGAATGCGGTTGTCTGTAGGGTAAATTGAGGCAGTCCATGGTATCTTGCTGAGAACTGACAAACTCAAATCTGAAAGTATCAGACCAAGCCTGAGAGTCAAACACTTCTACAGTTACTGTGAACCTGGTTCCCCTGGCAACTATATTCCAAAAGAGCCTCACTTTGCAAAGGCCGGTACCAAAGAACCAAACAACCGCACAGGATTGCTTTTCATTGTCTGCTTTGTTCCTAGAAAATAAGCTTGGATCCCAAAGATCGCGCCAAGGCAATACCACCCCCTCAGGACACGCATTATATTTCTGGCCGACAAAATGACCATCAACATGTCTTTGTTTATGTTGGCTCATTTAGCTTGGTAGGAATAACTATTTGTATTAGTAAAAACGTGTTTAATTGGCAATGGGCGGAGATACTGTGTAACTGTCGTAGACCATTGGCTTATGTGCATATCTCACTTCCGCTGCTAGACCTATCAAATCACTTCTCCTCCACCCATCTGCGACCTATATAATCTAATGTATGTTTTGGTTTAGTTCATGCTCACCAGGTTAACTCCTGATGGGTACTCCACCAGCTGTGTGAACCAATAAATCCTCTGCTTGTTTTCACCTGCACCCAGTGTGTCCAAGAATTATTCCCAACACAGTACCCAATCCAGCACCTCCCAAAACCGCTCCCAAGTCTCTTTTGGCCCGCTGAATACCCTCCTTATTTTTTATTCAAGTGTTAAGTATGGGATTAGCCCATTTACTGATCTCTTCTCCCAGGTTTCCCCCTCCCCTCTTCAACCCTCTCTTTTCCCCTCTTCCACCTCCCTTTTCCAGTCTCCTCAGAGGTTCATCCCTCCCCCCCAGTTTTGTTCAATAAACCCAGTTTCTATTTTTGAACATACGTGTCTTTTATTTGACATCGGGAAGAACATAAAGGAGGAATGGGACACGAGTCCCCGGTGGGGAGGACTAGAGAGGCTCTGAGGGCTTCTCGGGGTGGACGCTTTCCCTCAGGGCCTCCTGGATCCTGACAGCCCCCTGATGGACCCCCGGATGGCAGCCTGCGGCAGGTGCAGTGGCAGCTCTGGCTCCATGTGGCTGAGTGCTGTGGTGGCCCCAGTGCGGACACTCAGGGCATGCCAAGACAGGACTGCTAGGTAGGCAAGCAAGCGGGGAACCCTGAGAACTGTCTGTCCAGGGTGTGGGTAGGGTTCCTTTAAGCACGGAGCTCAGTAAGCCTCAGGCAGCAGCCCCACACACTAAGTCCTAACCTGATGCCCTGCCAGCACTAGTTCCGGCCAGCCTTAACTTTGGTTCAGGGTCCACACAGTGTGGACATGCTATTTTGAAATAGCAAAATGCTAATTCAAAATAGTTTTTGTGTATAGATGCGTTAATTCGAAATAGTGCTGTAGTGTAGACATATCCTCAGAGATGATAAAATCATTGTGGAGATGCAAAATGAATTCTTTGTTTCAGTCTTCACGGCTCAGAACATTAAGGAGATTCCCAAACCTGAGTCATTTTTTTTAGGTGACAAATCTGAGGAATTATCCCGGATTGAGGTGTCTTTCAAAGAGCTTTCAGGACAAATTGATAACTGAACTGTTACAAGTCACTGCGACCAGATGGCATTCACCCATGGGTTCTGCAAGAACTCAAATGGGATATTTTGGAACTATGAACTCTGTTTTGTAACCTCTCCTTTAAATCAGCTTCCATACATAATGACTGGAAGATAGCTATGGTGATGCTAATATTTTAAAAGGGCTCTAGAGGTTATCCTAGCAATTACAAACCAGTAAGTCTAATGTCAGTACCGGGCAAATTAGATGAAATGATAGTAAACAGTAAAATTGTAAGACACACGGATGAATATAATTGTTGGGGGAAATCAACATGGCATCTTTAAAGGTAAATCCTGCCCTAGTAATCTGCTAGAGTTCTTTGAAGGGGTCAGCAAAGACATGGACAAGGGGTATCTAGTGGAAATAGAGTACGTAGATTTCCAGAAAGCCTTTGACAAGATCCCTTACCAAAGGCTCTTTCATAAAGTAAGTTGTCATGGGATAAGAGGGAAGGTCCTTTCATGGATTTAGAATTGGTTAAAAGACAAGCAGCAAGTGTAAGAATAAATGGCCAGTTTGTGAGTGGAGAGAGGGAACTAGTGGTGTCCCCCAAGGGTCTGTTCTGGGACCCATCCTATTCAAATTATTTATACATGGTCTAGAGAAAGGAGTAAACAGTGAGGTGGCAAAATGTTTACATGATCCGAAACTGCTCAATATAGTTAAGACCAAAGCAGACTGTGAAGACCTTAAAAAAGATCCCACCAAACTGAGTAATTGCGCAACAAAATGGGAAATGAAATGTAATGTTGATAAATGTAACGCACATTGGAAAAATACTCCCAAGTATACATACAGTATGATGAGGACTAATTTAGCTACAACCACTCAAGAGCGAGATCTCCGAGTCTTTGTGAATAGTTCTATGAAAACATCCACTCGGTGTGCAGCAGCAGTCAAAAAAGAAAACAGAATGTTAGCAGTCATTAAAAAGAGATAGAGAATACGACAGAGAGAATATCTTAGTGCCTCTATATGAACCCACTGTACACTCACATCTTGAATATTGCATACAGATGTGGTTGCCTCATCTCAAACATGAGAGATTGTCTTTGGAAAAGGTTCAGAAAAGAGCAACAAAAATGATGAGATGTTTGGAACGGATTCCATATGAAGAGAGATTAAAAAGACTTGGACTTTTCAGCTTAGAAAAGAGGAGACTAAGGGGCTGTGTCTAGACTGCAACCCTTTTCCGTAAAAGGGATGCAAATTAGATACATCGCAATTGCAAATGAAGCGGGGATTTAAATCCCCCCCCCGCTTCATTTGCC